GGAAAATATCCTGGGCCCCCAAAGCACTAAGCTAAAAGGAAAATTCAAGCTGCGAACTGTTTAGAGCAAACCTGCCACCCAATATATTCAATGTCATCCCTCTGCTCAGTGAGATAAATGCGTATCTGATTGCCCTCTTCTGAAAGGCTAATCAGAAACTCAAAAGAATGCAACCACTTGTCTCTCACCTACCTGTGACAATCTGGAAAGTTGTCCCGCCTTTCCAGATTGAGCCAATGTTCAATTTTAGATATGTTGATTGATGTCTCATGTCTCACTAAAATGTATAAAACCAAGCTGTGCTCTGACGACCTTGGGCACATGTCATCAGTACCTCCTGAGGCTGTGTCATGGGTGCGCATCCTCAACCTTGGCAAAATAAACTTTCTAAATTAACTGTGACCTGTCTCAAATGTTGGGGGTTCACATAACATAGGGATTGTCCTAGACTTTCCTACTATGCCTACATCCAGTCATCAACTCCCATCAAAAACACACTCCAATGTCTCTCTCATTCGTTCTTGCTTGTCTGTACCACTGTCCCTGGACCAAATTGAGGGTCAGGCTGCTTATTCTTGTGGCCCAATAATGAGATGCAGATGAACTGAGGAGGAAGAGAGTTTTTATTTCTGTAACTGGTTACAGGGAGAAGGCCTAGGAAATATCACCAGAAAAACTCAAAATTACAAAGATTTTTCAGAGCTTATATGCCTTCTATAGAACTCTTGGTGGGCTTTTGTTACATTCCAGCCTTTGTATAAGGGCACTGGCTCTATCAGTTTTTAATATGTAACTTAACCAGTCAGTGCTGAAAGAGTTGTTACAGAGGCCTATGTTAGTAAGACCTGACTTGCCACAATCTCCACTGTCAATTTCTGCATGATTTCTATCATGTTTGTATATTTAGTCATCATGAGAATTTCAGTGAGATGGGGTGTAGTAATCTTTCTGGCTACATCCTGCTGAGAGGAAGTCAACATTATGGAGCGCTGAATGCAGCGTTGGAGTGGAAGAGGTTGACCTGTTCCCAGTAGTACTCCCTGTTTCAGGGGCTTAGAGGCAATACCTGCTGAAACATAACAATATGCAACAGCAACACATATAAATAGGTTGCTGCTGTTTTCTTCTGAAGTTTAAGTTTAAGTAGTCTTCAGTCTGCAGGGCTTTAATAAAGCAAGGTTTAGGTTTCAGTGACTTCCAGTTAGGAAAAATGGGGAAAAAGGAAAAAATTGAAAACATTATTTTGGAGACTTGTAGCCAGAAAAATCAGAATTCAACCCAAACTGTAGAAAATAACAAAAACTGAAAAACATTAGACAAGACTAGAATCTAACAACAAGTGCACTATGGTTTTGAAACATAATTTTTCTCTTTCCAGTCTCCCATTTTTACTAAAGACAAATCATGGTAAGACTGGTTTGTTTTATTGTACTTGACCTGGTTATTTGTATAAAGTGCAGAAAGAAGAATTATTTTTTTCACATAAGCTCTTTTGAAATTGGCTTTGATGGAACTCTGTTCCATACAAGGAATCTTAGATAAGACTTTTTTAGCACCAAGCTGTGCTGTTGATTTGTACCCTTAAATACCTATGAGTTGAGTAAATTTCTCTCCTTTTGGGGTTCCAAGATAACTTGGAACCTGTCAGAAAGTGACATTCTTTACTTACCACAGGTCAGAAACCCAGTACAGGGACTGTGGAGACAAGGTATGAGGCATTTCCTCTAGGGAATTTTATTGACTTTACAAGTCAAATTTGATTTCTTAAAGGAAAGCAGGCTATTACAGTCAAAGCCTTGGTAAAATAACTAGTTTCTCCAATTGTGTCTGTTGCAAAAGAAAACAGATTCTTATTGCCCTTATGCAAATAACTATAATTAAGAGTATTCACAAATGGTTTTCAGATTCTGGAGAAATCAAGTAGAGAGAAACAAATATGTTCCAAATTTTGCTCATAGTAGTATACTTAGTATACTTTGCTTAATTGTTAAAAGCTGTTCATAGCTCAAAAGAAAAGTTTCCTTGACTCTGAAAAGGAAAACAAAAGATCAACAACATTTTAAGCAAAAAGTCAAAAAGATCACTTCAGTTTTTTATTAGTTTATGCAGTTAATTCTTGTTCTGCTTGATATCAATGAATATTTTATTTCTTCAAGAGTTCTGAACATTTTTCCTCTATTCAGATGTTACAATCTCCAAAGTTATCAGAAACCTGCATTCAAGAGCACCTGTTAGAGCTTCATAACTGATTGCAAAACCACCTTCTAAAGAGGACCAAAACAAGACAACAATTGTTTATGGATGACAAAAAGTTTTAGGGTAGCCATAGTTAAAAACACAGTTGACAAGGAAATCTGTTACCTCTGTGGCACAAAATAATTCATCATAACAATTATAATTATTACTGATAATTTACACTAAGATATAGCAGAATTATAGAAGTTTCCCATAATTTGGAACACATACCAGTAACACATTTATACAAATATAGCCCAAAAAAGCCAAACACCATTTTATATTTGACAATGCTTCCTGTAAGATTTTGTACCAAATAAGCCAAATTTTATGTTTACATTTGGGTACTATTAAATGTTAAGCTAAATTTTTAATAAAACCTTATAGATATATTTACCCAATTTTAATGTTTGACCATAAGGTAAGATTTCCATAAATCTTTTGTAATCCTTTACAAAAGATTCTTGTTAAAGAGCAGGTTAATGCTCTAAGAGAAACCTGCTGTACATTTATTTTAATGTTCAATTTATGGAAAAACTGAAAAATACCACTTTAACATTAGCCAATATGTTTACACATAGAATTTCTTTTACAATTAATTTTCTCATAAACCTTCTGCAACTTGCTTAAACCCTTAGCTTTGTTTTATCTAACTTAAAACAATCCTTTAACCTTTTAATTTAGGCAAAAAATCCACATTCCCACACCTTCTTATAATCTTTTTATCAAAAGTATGTTTTCCTTTCTTACACATCTTGCATGTAAAACTATTTTTTTAGTAGTCTCAAACACATGTTACACTGTTAACTCTCAGCAACCTTTATTTTTGGTGAAAACTTTGGTAAGTTTGGGATTTTAATTATGTACTAGATGTGGAGCCTAGGACCCAGACAGGAGTGCAGATAAGGTCTGACTCTTTCCAGCATCAAATTCAATGTGTCCCAGGTCTTACCTAGCCATAAACCAGGCAAACTGTGCAGTTAAAAATCACAGTGGCATTCTATGAAGCATTTAGGAGGCCTAATTACCTTTAAATTGTACAACAATTTTACATAAATTCTTTCATGACTTACACAGACCACCTACGACATGCTTGGACTTCTTGACTTGTTCTAACCATCCCTCTTTCTAAAACAACCTGTCATTTTATTCTAGCACTAAATTTACCACACAAGATTCTCTTTCATATAAAATTATTTTTCTTTAAGCTTTTTTACTAAAAAATACCTTTTTATTTTTTATAACTTTCTTTATATCGCTCTTATTTCCTGGTTCCTTTTGCCTTGTTTTCTAGATAACCTTTAAATAAGCTTTGAATTAGACAAAAATTATTTACCTTTAAAAAGGGACACCATCTTAGAAAGAATGTTTTCCCACAATATATTTTTATTGGAAAATATCCAAATAAATATCTATTATGTAATTTAATATAAGTTTAGATTCTAAATTATGACAAGTTTATTTGTGAGTATTTATTCCATTGCATTTACCTCATTAATTTAATTGTTTACTTAGATTATTTATGAAAACTGTGATAGCCATTATTTAAAGTTATGAAACTGCCACTGCAAAATTATAACTGAGACAGTGAAAAGGTTCTGACCTAACTGACTTCATCTTGCTTCTAACCTCCAGGAAGTTCTTGTTCATTAACTTAGTTTTTATTTATCTTTGAAACAATATGGTAACAGTCCTTTCCCAGAACAAACCTCCTTCATGCCTGTGGACTAGACTGCCTAAAGCCACAAGATTAGGAGTTATGGCATTTTACCAAAGAATTTAAGATGTATCTATATTTATTAAAACAATATTAATGTTTTATCTATTAAAAATTACAAAAGCAAAGATCATTCTGTTTGGGGCTGAGTTTATAGTTTTGTAACCTCTATGCCAAGTTTTGACACCTTATAGTATTTGGCAGGGATAAGTATGAAGTTTCTCGATCAACAAATGCAAACAAAAATGTATGCTGGCAATTCCTAAGACATTTCTATTATTACTTTACCAATACTTTTAAAGTCAGCTTATTTATTAAAGATTTTACTTAAGTCACATAATCTTAAAAAAGCATTCGACTAGTCTTTTTTCTGTTAAAGTATTTGATTTCAACACCTTTAATTTTCCTTAATCCAATTAATTAGAGCTTTTTTATATTTTCAGTAGTGAAACATTGTGTATACAACACATAAATACATAGACATATTAGGCATGACAATAGAAGTACATTTTATAGATGCCCTAGATCTGCATATTGAAGGAAACAACTTTTAGGTGAAAAATCAGATGGCAAGATTTACATCTCAAAGTAATGAGAAAAAGCCTGCTGGTGCTAGAGGGAGATTAAAGATGGATGCCAGATCAAACATAAAATTATAGAAATGTATTATAGGACTATATTAGGAGACCAATTTTATTTAGACAGGGACTGCCTATCTTTTAACTGGATCTTTGAGCTCTGGCCAGAGCCCACACTGAATCTTGGGTTTTCAAAAAGGGAGAATTACTATCAGACTAGACCATGTGATGCTTTTACAGTGCATTAAACTTTTTTTTTTCAAACAAAGACATTTCTAAGTGTCTAAATGACACCTTTTTTAAAAAAAAAAACCAAGAGTAGCCTCTGTTGCAACAGCTGTTAATAAGAAAAACACAATTCAGACAACCGAGAAGAAAAAAACTTTTGCTCAAAAAAGACAAGGTCCCAGAAGAGAAAAAACAAAAATATAAAGGCCTTTTAATACAAACACATGCACATGCACACACACATATACACATCTTAGATGTTACCTTTTAATTAAGCTGACTTTTAATCATTGAGCTCCTTTAAAAAGACCTTTTTCCTTCCCAGAGGGCTCCCAGCAGGGATGGACCTGACACCTCTTACATGGCATCAAAAGAGACAAGACAGATACACAAACAAGTGGAGACAGAATTCAGACAAACACCAGGGGGAGTGCATTCAGGCAGAACAGACTCAAAATCAACACAAAACCTGATCTTAACCAAAATGCAAAGTGGGTGTATGAGCAAGCCTTATTGCTCCCCTGGCGGTACCAGACAAGTGGCTTAACAAGCCCAGATAGGAAAGCAACAGACTCCTGGCATACAATCCAATTAACTAACCCTTCCAGCACGTTCATCCCTGATCTCCAGTCTTCCCCAACAGTGGGAGGGACATGCAATTTTTCACATGGGACAGCCCTCAGAAGGGATCCCTGGGAAACTCTCACCCAGCAGCTGCTGGGATCCTCCTGAAGACTGTTTCATCACAAGCCGCTGACGGTTGAAAACAGCACCGTCCCAGTGGCTCCTGGCTGCCTCACCAAATTTGTTCCCAGACCAAACTGAGGGTCAGGTTGCTTATTCTTGCAGCCCAATAACGAGACGCAGATGAACTGGGGAGGAAGAGAGTTTTTATTTCTGTAACTGGTTACAGGAAGAAAGCCTGGGGAATATCACCAAACTCAAAATTACAAAGTTTTTTCAGAGATTATATACCTTCTAAGCTATATGTCTATGTGTAAGTGTGCATTCATCTAAAGACATATGTGATTAACTTCTTTTAATCTATAACTGAGATCTGAGTCCTGAAGACCTTCCTCTGGAGCCTCTGTAAATTTACTTAATGTAAATGGGCCCAGGTGCTGGGGTGATTACACTTATCTTGTCTCCTGCTAAATCATGGAGGTTTGTGGAGTTTCTTTAGACCCCCAATAAACTTGTTTGTGGAGGCCTGGGGAGTTTCTTCAGATTCCCAATAAAACTTGTTTAATCCTAAATGGGTCCTGATAAGAATTCTTTCATTATCTTGTCATGCTTCAAAGCCCAGGAAATGCCTAGGCAAAACTCTTGGTGGGCTTTTGTTACATTCCAGCCTTTGTATAAGGGCACAGGCTCTATCAGTTTCTTAATATTTAACTTAACAATTCAGCCAATGCTGAAACAGTTGTTATGGAGGCCTGTGTTAGTGAGACCTGGCCTGCCACACCACTGCAACACCCCAGTCCAGGCCACCATCATATCTTAACTGAATATTGCAATAGCATCAGAACTGATCTCCCTAGTTCTAGTCTTACCACTACCTTCCCCATCCCAATTTATTCTCATAAATGTTAAGGTCTCAGGACCTAGTGTTAGACTGCCTAGATTCAAATCCTGACACCATTTTTTACTCTCTGATATCCTTGGACAAGTTGCATAATCTGTGTCTCAGTTTTCATACAGGTAAAATGGAATAATGGTAACATCTACCTTGATTATTATGAGGAAGAAATAACTGAGTACATATAAATCACTTTAGAATTGTACTTGGCACTTAGTGAGGATACAGTAACTATTTAACTGTCCTTATTATATTTCAAGTAGCTTTCAGAATAATCTACTGGTTAGCTATGTCATTTTCCACCTTAAATCCTTTCAGTGGATTCCCATGGCCTTAAGTAAAGTCTGAATTTCTTTACTGGGCCTACCAAGCTCTCATGATCTGACTTTCAACCTATATGGTCTTAGCACCCATCCTTCTCTCTGAGACTTGAAGCTCTAGCCATGCTAAAGAGCTCCCACAATCCAGTTAGCTCAGGCCGTTTTACGTTCTGTTCATGCACTCTTCCACCATGTAGAATGCCCTTTCCCACCTTGTCCATGTAGAAGACACTTTCTGACATTTTAAGACACAGCTCCACTAGACCCTAAGCCACATGAAGGCCGGGCCAGGTTGATTTTGTTCAAGGCCACATCTCCAGGGCTCAGGGCGATACATGGCACATGGTCAGTTCTCAATAAATATTCACTCAGTAAATGAATGAATGGATAAAAGCATCTCCTCAGTTATAAAACTTTTTTCACATTTTCTCCTCACCTGCATCTTCCCTAGCCTGGACAGATTTTGTTACTCTCTCCTTTGTCTGGCAAGGATATCAGCATCACTTTCTGTGATAGCTACCTTAAAAGTACTTAAGTGACCCTTGTCTCCTCTGTGCATTGAGCTCCCAGCAAGTGCCCAGCACAGCGCCTGGGACACAGTAAATGTTCAGCCCATGTTTACTAACTGAGCACATGAGCAAATCAGAGAGCAGTAAATCTCTGGAACCCCACATTGGTGGGCTGCATTGCTATCCTACAAACTTCTAGACTTTTATCCCCATGGTTCCATTGTCTTAAAATTCATTCATTGTTAAGTAATAATATACTTCCACATTTTAATGGATCAAAGACATAGGTTGCCATACTGAGTTATCATAATTTCAGTCAAAGGTTACCTTGCACTGCTGTTTGTAGACAAATGTATGGTTTTCTTTGGGCTGTGTGTAGGATTGAAGTAGCCCCTCAATGACCTTCATTTCTTGTCTCTCGTGTCTGACATGGAAGTAGCCATCAGATGAGCATTGGTAGAGGCACAGGCCTCCTTCCGGGAGTCTCATGGGGCTTATTTCCATCTAGAGGCACCACTATCCATGTTGATGGGATTTTTTTGGTATCTCCAATTCCCTGTGCTGTAGCCAAGAAAATTCAATTCAGTAGATATTTGTGCAGGAATGCCAAAAAAGGAAGGAGGCACTGCTTTGTTTTTGGTCTCCAGAATCATATCTTTGAGTTGTAGCAAGTATCAAAAGTTAGTCTTTGGCCAGAATAAATAATTTTCTAAATTCCTTTCTCTCCCATTAGCATGCCCTGTTGGAGTAGATTACAGAACTTTATTCTCCACCAGGGATAGCAAAAACACAAACAATAACATAAGGATATTTTCTACCACATGAAATGCAGGTTGTGGGGAAAACCCACCTCTTGCAGCTGGTGGACTGAGGCAAAAAGTGGCAGAGGTCGGGTCATCAAGAGAGTATCTAATTTTTCCCCTGTAGGCTAAAATCCTGGGATTGGGGTTTAGATAGAGTGAAGGGAAACTTGACAACACAGGGGATTTTACCTTGCATCTTTTTTTGGGGAAACCAGAGTGAAAATGGCAGTGAAGCAGAGAAGACCTGAACTTCAAGCCTCTTCAACACCTTCAAGCCTCTCTTAGGCTCCTAAATATAGTGCAAAAGTTCCAGAGTTCCTCTGTTATCCCTGGAAGCACATGGAATGGTGCTGGACAGGGGCAACTGGACCTGGAGCAGAAGAGTAACTGCCTGGAACTGTCCAAGCCTCAGAGGGAGTCACACCACCAGCAAGAACCTGGGTGGGAATAGGTGAGCCAATGGGTCCCCAGGCTCTGACCCTGCCAAGAGAACTCACTAGAAGGTCACCAACCACACATACTATTCCTCAGTCCCATGAAGAACCCAAGGACCAGACCAGGCAAGATATCACAAAGCTGAAACCAGCTCTGGGGCAGAGCATGGATCTGAGGTCTTCAGCCCTATCACCATGAGATCATATGAGGGCCACCATACAACCATCATAATTTGGGGAGGGAATAGGGCATAAAGGAATAATATGCAAAGCCGAAATGCCATGAGTTACCCAGAAGAAGCTGTGTAAGCCAGAGGATTCTGAGACCCTGTCAAATAACAACATCTAGTTGAGGGTTGGAATTAGGTAGGAAGTAGGGAAGTCTGGGAAAGAAGGAGCAGAAACACTTGTTGCGTGTGGCTTAATGGAACATGCAAGGGGCCAGGACAAACTTGGTCCAGATGAAGTCACCACCCTCGGAGCCTGCCTTAATCACTTACCTGACAAATATAATCTGACTCCAGAGAGTGGAGCATAGGCTTAAGGAAATGGGGGCGGCAGGTGGGGAGGTAGGGGAGAGGCAGTGATAGGGAGAACAGGGAATTGTAGCAGAGATTGGGTTTATTGTTCAGGGCTGTCAATCAACACCTAACATATGCCTGTCTTAGCCTAAATCAATGAATAAATGAATCAAATGTGGGCAATGCCTATAAAGATTGCTGGGACAGGGAGGTGGGGCGAGACAGCAGCTTGGGAAGTCAGGCCTGTTAGATCCTACTTCACCACCTGATAGATTATACATACTAAAACCATCACTTCCAAATTATTTTTACTACATTTTTCTGTTATCTGTACTCGAGTTTATGTCTCTGGCATCTAGAGGCAGCCCTTCATGGGCATGGGACCCGAGCAGCCACACGAGGCTGCGAACCCAGAAGGGCATATGCTCGGTTTAATGCTCTGTCATCTTAGAATTTTTAATAAAGTTTTCATCCCACATTTTCATTTTGCACTGAGATTCATAAATTATGTAGCAGGCCCTGACTCTACCTGTATAGTGGAATTACTAGATAATGGTACGCTACTGTGCATATCTTTCCCGTTCAGTGTTCGGTGCCCTCGTATTGGCAGCTTGAACTAGCTCATGGTGGATGTTGGTACACGCTGGGAATCAGGGTGGAAACTAGTTGTAAACCATTTACCGGAACACCACTAGGCAGGCCACAGGATAAAGGAATAATGATCGTACACCTCCCGCAACCTCTACCCCCTGAGAATTTTGGTAGAATGCGAGAATGGAAAAGAAAATCTCTTGCACAGCCATTTATTAATTTTGATAAGGAAGAAAAACAATGACCTCAGCTTTGGTATTATTTTACAATATAAATTCAGATCCCGTGACTGAAAACTGTTCGACTTAAAAGAGAACGCTCCAGGAACGCAAAAGCAGTTGGGCTGAACCAAGCGTGCGCGCTTTGGTAACGGGCTAGAAATCCCGCACGCGAGCCTGCCTCCTCTCCGCAGGCCTGAGCCGCCCCTCCCACTGCCCTTCCCCTCCCGCGAGTCAGAAGCTTCGCGAGAGCCCAGAGAGGCGGTGGGCTGCGCGACCCTACGCCAGCTCCCGGCGGGAGAAAGCGCACCCTCTCCCGCGCCCCCGGAAGCCGCCGGCGTTCGGCGCTGCGCAGAGCCATGGAATTCTCCTGGCTGGAGACGCGCTGGGCGCGGCCCTTTTACCTGGCGTTCGTGTTCTGCCTGGCCCTGGGGCTGCTGCAGACCTTTAAGCTCTACCTGCGGAGGCAGAGGCTGCTGCGGGACCTGCGCGCCTTCCCAACGCCCCCCACCCACTGGTTCCTTGGGCACCAGAAGGTAGATGGGAGGGAGGAGGGAGGAGGGATGGGCGGAGGAGGGCGCGGCAGAGGAGCCCGGCCTGCGGAGAGACGGCTGCTTCCTTCCATCCCTGGGGACCCTCCGGCTTGCACTGGCCTTTCCAGCCCGGCCTGTGGCTCTCAGCATCATTTTTCCTTGCTCTGGAGACTTGCTTTCCCGCAGCCCCACAGGGAAAGGTCACTAAAGAGGAAGCTTTGGGGGCTGGGAGAGACCTATTTAAAGAACCTGAATATGGAAAAAGAAAGCGACGTGTACCTCAGGTCTGTCTCTCCCTGCTTCACCAAACCTTCCACATGTGTTGCTTTAAAAATAGCATATTATTCTAAATAACTTATTAATTGCAGAAAATATGCAAAATCGATCCCAATTGTTGGCACCCTTAGTCCATTTTAACCAGAGACAATTTTCTTTTCCTAAGATTCTTGTGAAGTAAGGAGCAGCCCCAGCCAGCCGCTCAGGAAATACTGATTGATGGAAATTTGTAAAGGGAGACTGTTAGCTTTTGGTCTCTCCTGTCTTTTAAATCCACTCCCACCCTAATTGAGGTTTTTATTCATTCAGCCGACTCTGAGTGGCAATTGTGTGATAGGTACTAAGATTACAAAGAGAAGCTAAATGCCTTCCCTGCACCTCCCAAGTCAGGTGCAGACTTAGGCCACAGAGAGAAAATGAAAATTTAAGGCAATGGGTGCTTTACTAGAGGCCCAAAGACAAGGGAATATCCATCGCAGGAAAGTGTACATCTCCGCCTAGAGGAGGAAGGAAAGTCTGTGACGGACTGAGCAGAGTGTTAAAGGATGGTCGGGTGGTGTGGGGAAGGCATTCCAGCGGAGCTACTGCACGATCCTTTGGTTTCCCCCACTTTCTAGTCTTTCTTATCGAAAGCAACCACTTTCAACTCTTTTATCGTTTTTCTCTGGTATTTAAATCTTTATTTGTAAAATAATATTACTATATTGCATCTATTACTTTAATAAGTTTAGACATCTGCTGTGGTTTAGATATGGTTTGTTCCTCCCCACCAAGCCTCATGTTGAAATTTGATTCCCAATGTTGGAGGTGGGATCTGATGGGAGATCTTTGGGTCATTGGGATGGATCCCTCGTGAATGTCTTGGTGCAGCTGTCTCCTTCATAAGTTTTCACTCTCTTAGGCCCTCTTCACCCCCCAGAACTGATTGTTGAAAAGAACCTGCCACCTACTCCCCTCTCTCTTCCTCTGTCTCACCATGTGATTTCTGCACACAACTGCTCCTCTTCACTTCCACTATGAGTGGAAGCAGTCTGAGGTCCTCCTCAGATGCAGGTGCCAATGCCATGCTTCCTGTACAGCCTGCAGAATTGTAACGCATATAATCATCTTTATGAATTATCCAGCCTCAGGTGTTCCTTTACAGCAACACAAATGTGCTAAGACAACATCCACCTATGAACTTCTTTATGACAGGCAATCACACCTCATCTTCCACTGTCCCAATAACTATATTGTATTGTATTTTTTAGTTAAATAGAAAAACCTCTATTTGTATTATTTTTATTATGCAAATGTTATTTACTGCTGATCTAAATGGTCCTCTTGCATTTTATTTATTTTTTCATAGAACTTTCCCCCACCCCCACAATATTGTTAAATTCTTCCTTTTCTAATCTGCTTCATTTTTCAATATCTGTCAGTATTTTTTTTCCAAATGCTCTAATAGATCTGTCAAACACATCTAAATAATATTTCCAAGAATGCAAACATGCCAAATAATCTGTTCGTTTTTCTGGAGATGTTTTTCCCACAGACCTCTCCTCCTTTTCCAGTCTGGACTGGTTGTTCTTTAAGCTTGGTATGGAGATACTGTTCTAGGACTCCCCATTGTTGCTGTCCTGTGTTATGTATCTCTACTGTGTCATGGATACTATGTCATCTGTTGTTTCCATTGAATTCTTTTGGCATCCTTGTCAAAAATCTATTGACCATAGATGTCAAGGTCTGTTTCTGAATCTTCAATTTTAATCCGTTGATCTGTATGTCTGTCCTAACTCACAGACAGAGAAAGTAGAAGGATGGTTACCAAAGGCTGGGAAGGGTAGTGGGGAGCTAGGGGAGGAGGTAGGGAAGGTTAATGGGTACAAAAAAAATAGAAGGAGTGAATAACACCTACTAGTTGATAGCACAGCAGGGAGGCTATAGTCAATAATAACTATACATTTTTAAATAAAGAGTGTAATAGGATTGTTTGCAACTCAATGGATAAATGCTTGAAGGGAGGGGATGGGTACCCCATTCTTCATGATGTACCTTTTTCACATTGCATGTCTGTATCAAAAAATCTCATTTACTCCATAAATATATACACCTACTATGTATGCACAAAAATTAAAAATTATAAATAAATTATATGTCTATCCTTATGCTATTACCACACTGCCTTACTGTTGCTTTGTAGTAAGCTTTGAAATCAGGAAGTATGAGTCCCCCTACTTTGTTATTTTCCAAGATTATTTTGGCTATTTGGAATCCTTGGGTTTCTATATAAATTTTAGAATTAGCCTATCAATTTCTACAAGGAACCAGCTAGGGTTCTGCTAGGGATTACATTGAATCTGTAGATCAGTTTGGGGATTATTGCCACCTTAACAATGTTAGGTCTTCTGATCCATGAACACAGAAAGCCTTTCCATTTATTTAGGTCGTCTTTTTTTTTTTTTTTTTTTTTTTTTTGAGACAGAGGCTTGCTCTGTCGCCCAGGCTGGAGTGCAGTGGTGCAATCTCGGCTCACTGCAACCTCCGCCTCCCGGGTTCAAGCGATTCTCCTGCCTCAGCCTCCTGGGCAGCTGGGACTACAGGCACACACCACCACACCAGCTAATTTTTGTATTTTTGGTAGAGATGGGGTTTCACCATATTGACCAGGCTGGTCTCGAACTCCTGACCTCATGATCCACCCACCTCGGCCTCCCAAAGTGAATGGATTACAGGGGTGAGCCACCACGCCCAGCTTTCTTTAATTTTTTTAACGATGTTTTTGTATTTTTCAAAGTATACATTTCATTTTGCATTTCTTTTGTTAAATTTATTTCTGTTTCATTCTTTTTAAAGCTCTTGTGTCTTAATTTCATTTCAGATTATTTATTGCATTCATAGTGTTTTAGAGTCCATATTCCCTCTTGACTGTCACTAAGTTATTTTTTCTGTTGTTGAGAGGTTTCTATCAGAATTTTGCTGATTAGAGGTGACAGGCCTATCAAACTAATATTACCAACCCTCCCCATTTACTCAGATCTGGGTCCTTGTGGTGATTCACCTAAGTCACAAGGAAATCTAGTCTCTAAGGCTCAAAAGGTGAAACTATTTTACGTAGTCAGTAACATTTTATTGCTACATAATAACTGTACGTATTTATGGAGTACCTGTGATATTTTGATACGTGCATATAATGTACAGTGATCAAATCAGGGTGTTTAGGGTATTCATCACTTCTAACATTTATTATTTATTTGTGTTTGGAACATTTCATGTCTTCTCTTCAAGCTCTTCAGAAATATGCAATAAATTATTGTTAACAGTGCTATTGAACACCGCAACTTATTCCTTCTGTCTAAAGACAGTAACATTTTAAGTATAGTCGTAAGGTTACAGAAGGATAAAGTGTGTGTAGGGAAAATTCCATACAAGATGAGAAATTTCATTCCTTACTCTTAATAATACAGGTCTTCTCACTATTCTTCAAACATGCCAAGGATATTCCTCCCTCAGAGCTTTGAACATGCACGTCTGTGGTTGTATTACTGTCCCTGCAAGTTATTCAGGCCTTTGAACAAATGTTACCTCCTAAAAGACGCTTGCCCTGACCATTCAGACTAAAATAGGACTTCTAGGACTCTCTATCTCCAGCCCTGTTATTATTATCTTGGCCCTTATCAGTCTCTGACACTATACGGTGTACTCTTTTGCTTGTTCGTTTATTATCCACCACTAACTACAGTATAAAATCTGTGAGAGGGAGGGTCTTTGTTTGCCACTATAAACCCAGTGCATGGTACAGTTCCTGGTGCATAATACGTGCTCAGTAAATCCTTTGTTGAATGCATAAATATATTAGGTGCTGAGAAAATTCATTTATTCAAAGATCAATTTACTACATAGAGTAGGCCAGGTAAGGTTTGACATTTATTCAATAGGTCACCGAATCTCAGCCAACATATGGGACCTAGGATGTATATATGCAAGTGTGTGTGTTTGTGTGTGTGTATCTGTGTGTGTACTTGGATGTACTGCAGAGAGCATCTTTGTAGCTAAGTAGTATAAAGCACTTGGGCTCCAGAGTTAAACTGGAGTTTGAATCCTCATTACTGGTTGCCAGTTGTACACACTTGGACAGATCATTTAACCTAGTCTGTAGGGCTCAATTTCCTCATCTGTAAAATAGGGATTGTAATTATATCTACTTCATAGGGTTCTTGATGTAAATATTAAATAACATAAAACATGGAAAGCATTTAGCAGCGCCTAGTTCATAGCAGTGCTTGATAAATGTTAGCGGTTGCTATTTGGGGGCACTGTGCATTTTCTGAATGTTTCTGAACAATGTTTACTAAATATTTGTAGTACCCATTTTCAAGTATATTTAGATGCATCTCTGGGGATGAAAAAATAGAAATTAAATATAGTACAGGATTCACAATAGTTTTCTGTCCTGTTTGTCTAGTCAGGAGTTTAAAAAGTATAATGAAATAGTTCCATGTGGCTGGGGTATTTATGAAAGTTTTTTACCTAAACAAACAATTGTCAATTAGTTTATAATTTCCATGAGGGCAAAGGCCTTGTCTTTCTTATATTTCTCTGTATCTCTACCACCTGGTACATGTGATAGACACTCAGTAAATACTTGTGTGTTTATTGTTTGTGAATGAATAAATGAAAAAATATTCACA